AGCCCCTTCATAATACAAGCCCCCCCCTAAAAATTTTGAACACTTGGACAGTTTAGAAGCCCCGGAGGCTTCTATTATGGGGGGGGGTTGATATATAGTGTACCTAACTGAACTGATTAGTCATTTTTTTATTTCACTTTTCTTCTTTTTCAATTTAATTGATATACGATACTCTTATTGTTTCCTACAAATGTTTCTCTACCTGTCTATCACACAACTCTCTACTTATTTCTATACTATTGCTTGAATAAATAGATAATCACTATACCTTTCATCAAATAGGTATTTATTACGGATGACTGATTGCTTTTCTTCTACAAAATAAAAAAAAAGAGAATAATCTTGTATGTATCATTGGTACTCATGGAAAAAACACCTTAAGCTCTTCTCGCTCAATCTCCTTATGAAGACGTTATAGATTTTATCATAATTTAAATTTAAATTGAAAATATTGCAATAGCGGTAAGGGTATATGAAGCAAGGTTATATGTAACTTCGCTTCTAAAAAAAACCGTTTCATCGATTCCACAATTTGATCCATTTTATACTTTCTCTCATACAAATTGTAAATTAAATAATTAGGAGATTGAAAGATTCAAACGAAGATGTAGAAATGGGAGGGGTTCTACACTTTTAAATGATAGTTTTGATTTGAAACAATTCGGTGAAATGATCGATTTTTTCGACAATTAAAGCAATTTTTCAGAAATGGTATGTTTTTATCTGAAATTGATACATTTTTCTCAGTGGAATTATGTTCGAAATTTTACTTGACATTTTCGTTTCTGCCCAGTAGGGAATCTGTAAGAAGAAGAAGAAGAAGAAGAAAAGACCTTGTTTTAAGACCATGCGTTATTTACGTGAAGTATTATATTTTTGCTCTTTCCTTTGTCATAATGTACCATTGTCTTAAGATATGTTTTGTTCATTATCCTGGAAAACCTTATATGTTTTTCCCTTTTTCCAACAAGAATCCATTGCTCTAGCATTTTGGAATATGATCTGGGTTTTCTTTGCTTCCATTTAGAGGAATAGTTGTTGATTTCGTATTTTATATTAGCAGCATAACATTTTCTCCTATAAACCAGTTGATCACTTTTAAATTATACGTTAGATTTTCCCATTTCATTTGCGTTACCTTTAGAAGTATGATAGTGTCAAATAAAGAGAAGTGATCATTGATACCTGTGAACTAGAACCTAGTAGAAAACTGATCAGAGTAACAAGTAACAATCTAATTGGTTTTCTAGTGAAATGATACCGGCTACGATTTGTGCTTTAAAAGTTCAGGTCATTGACCCACTCTAGAGCGAAAAAGTAGTAATATATAGTCCACGACGAAAATATTCAAACAAAACTGCAGGAGATGCAAAAATATTATATAGCCACTGTTTCAGTAAACTATTAAGACTTTTACTAAAGTTTTTTCCACCGTTTCAAACACTTACTAACTTCATTTAAAAAATTCTTACTCTGATCAATTTTGGAAAAAAATTTGAGATGAACATTGTCAGTTCTCAGATAAAGGAATAGATAATCAGTTCTAGTTTAAATAGACTCAGATGAAGCTGCGATACTTATTATTCTGCTTAACAAGTATTTCCTTTATGTTCTTAATCTTGTCATGTGATGAGGATAGCGACATTCATCGTATGAATGCGAAATTTTTAATAACTAAAGATTCTGTCAAAAAAACACGTCTCTTATTAGCTGATTTTAAGCTATATTTATTTTATCTCACGCTTTTCTTTTCATAATCGATGGTAATTATCGTATTCAAAAACTTTGTGTCAAATATCTGGTACTACTCATTGAAAACATGTACTATTTGTGAGAGAAAAGTAGAGAAAAAAGAAGTGTTTGTGTATAGAACATTTAGCACATTTTGTTTCTTTTTTTTCGATGTAGCTATATAAAATATAAAGAAATCTTTTTTTTTCAAGTATTTTTTATTATTATCACATGTAGATGCAGATGGACATGGGCATGATCTGTTCGAAGCATGAACACTCCATACAGTACAAGAAACAGAAAAAAAATCGACGTTTTTTTTTTCTTTCTTTCTTTCTCATCCGTTTTATGTTTCTTCCAAAGAAAAAAAATATGTAGAAGTGGAAAGAAAAAAAAGAATGTAGTGACACATTTATTATCGATATATCTATATGTCTGTCTCTATAAAACTACTAAACTTCCTTATTCATACTAGATGTTAAACAATTTTAAAAAAATAACATATAAAATGGATCTTTTTCTTGTATTCATTCATTCTCACACGCTGCACACAATGAACTGATTAAACGAATAATCGTCATCGTCACTGAACATTCGAGATATAACTGTATCATATAAAAACTCAATAAAAATGTGTTGTTCTTTCTTTTTCTAAGTTCATGCAGAATGCGACCTTTTTCTTCTTTTGTTTTGTATCGAAATAATATTTATAATTATGCCCAATTATAATGAGGGACAAAAACAATGTTTTCTTCCTTGTTAACAGAAATAACGGCAAAAAACATCAACTTTTTCTAAAATTATTAATATATAATTAACAAAGATTGATTGCTACGTCTCTAATATTTTTTTTATATATTGTATTGACATTAATGCCACATCACAGAGACAAACATAACAAGCAATGACAAAAAACAAAATATGCTAGGATCGACGAGACTACATGCGTCAGCCGAAGATGTTAGCAAAGATTATTTATCGCCACGTAAGTTTTTTTTTAATTTTCACCTGAATAAAATCCATCACTTCACCTAGTTTCATTTATAATATAGACAGAAGTAACGCTGACTAAGGTTAATTAGTGTTAACGTTATTAGTTCCGAGATACGTAGTGTAATTATATGACAGAGCACACATCGTTCAAAGACTGCGTTACATTTACTTTATGGCTAAAAATATGCATCACACAGTAACTTTACACTCGATTCAAAGGAGCACTCCAACAATTTTCTGAATTCGTGCTTTGTGGACCGTATTTTTAGATTGCTTAATACTCTAGTTTTTTTTCTAGTGTAGCATTTACAGAAGTTTCTTGAGAGTCTCTCTTGTTACAGTTATGGATACAGCACAAATAAACTGAACAGACAGTAAAGAAATAATCGTAAAAGAATTTACATATCTCGTCGAAAGAAATGATAGACTCTTTGTCTCTATTATCGTGACGCGACAATAAACGCGATTTCCTTTTTGTACAAAGTTGACATCTGTGTAAAAATACAGAATATTCTTCTTAACAGAATAGAAAATGAATCTGTCGGTTATTGATTGCTGCGGTTGTTAGTATGATTAGTATTAATAATAACTAATTTTTATGTTTTTCTTATGTTGGACCAAAAAATCTTTTGAATTGTTACACGAAGATTAGATGAGTATATAGATATAGAGGTCATTGCATAGTTCTTGAACAAGTGCGAGTTGCATAAAAATTCTTTTATTTGTTCTGTCATCAGCAGTGGGTGAAATGAATATATCTGTTGAGTAGTTTTTAATTTAGCAAAAAGAAAAATTAAAAACTAGCCAATTTTGCCGATTTCAACAAAAAGTTTAAAATCCTGTAACCATTTTTAGATTTTGAAGGTTAGGTCAAAGGATAAGCAGTACTACTCGACTTGGAGAATAATGAGGACATAATCGAAGTTGCACATGCGTCTGTATCACAGAACAGACATGCAATGTGTTTAACATTTTAACTGAAAAAAAATCAAACAGTTGCGTGAGAAAAAGAATAGAAGATTTATTGAACAGTAGAGTGTAATTGTTAATTTATTATTTATTTAACTTTTATTTATTACGTCATTTGTATTTTCTGCATTTCTATATTCTGTTCTTTTTATTTAACAAAACTAGTACCGAACAGAATGCCAGTTCTGTTCAATCTCTGAGACTACTTGATTCAAATAACTAGATTTTATTAGCTAACAATCGATAGTTTGATCCGACATGAACAAATTAGGAAAAACTTTGTATTGTATTCTTAGTTTCACTACGAAGATATGTCGCTATTTGACAGACTCGATTTTAGTAATTCACAAAAATTGTTGTAAACAGAATTTTTTTGTTAAATAATAAAATGAATAGAAATTTTTTTCTTCTCATCAGAATTAAGTCTTTATAATAAATCGAAATTAATATTTATATCTTATGTGACATTAATCACTGTCGAAAAATATTTTTTTGTCAAGTTGAATATCATCTGTAATTTATTTACGATAATTTCATCAACAATCATATTAATAGTATATCTATCAGTCAGTATTAAATATATCACTATTTTAAGAGAAAAAAAGAAAATGACAAAAGAAGATAAGAAAATTTTTTATGTGTGGTCTATGGAGAAAGATATTTTGACGTCGAAATGAGAAAAACAATGTTATCACAATGTTTGACAGTAACTGAGCCTAATTATCATGTTTTCTTTTGCATTTGTGTATATATTGATGTCAGACCAGTGGTGAGGGTGAACAATAAAAAACCTTTCAACATTAGTTCGGTATGAGAATACGGAATGCATTTATATTTACTACATTTTATTCTTTTTCATAATTTTTTGTAAAAAATAAAATTCATACGCATGACCAGTCGAGCAGCATGACTAGGATAATTACATTCTCTTACAGATCCCGGACTGATATTACGAACATAAATAGCTTGTCCACAATTATTACGTGATTGCCTTGTGCATGCTTGATATGTTGAAGCACCAGAACATTTGTTAGGATGGTCACTGGTAGACTGGTGTGAGAAATAGTCACATTAATTTAGATTTTATTATTTTTTTTAATCATTTCAAGAGAATGGGTATTATCTTCAATCTTTTCAAAAGTTTCGTGTTAAAAGCTATGGAAAGACATAAATCATTTAGATATTTTTCGTTAAATGAATGTCATTTCGTGTTTGTTTGTACATTTGTATCACATCCAATTTAGATCAAATTTTTTTTTATTATTTTCTCTCTCTCTTTCCTACATTGTTATTCACTTTTTAATGCTAAAATTATCATTTCTTTTTCTCTCACTGGATGATTTTATTATCTGATGAGAGATCTAAAATGGAAAAAATATATATAAAGAGATAATTCCTATTTTCAAAATAAATTGAATCAAACTAAACCTTTTATCGAGGGTGTATATAAACGGTAGTATGTGAAGTTTAACAGTACATGTAAAATGTGATGTAAAACAGAGAATTTATTAAATATTTATATATCGAGTGTATGGATAGTGTACAAATAAGAACTTATCTAGAAGTTCATTTAATTCATTGGGGATAGTAATTGTCAAATCACTTGAATAACAGTAAAGTTATATCACTGAGAAACAAGCTTAGTATCCTTTTCTCACCAGTGGCCCTATCTATGAGCAGTGATAGAGCTTTTACATCTTAGACATTTTATAAAGTTTGGAAATTTTAAGTGATAAATATACGAGAAGACAGAGTTTATGTCAAAAAGAAAATTGAGCCTTCACGAAGTCTTAGTGAAAAAATGTTCTAAAATTCTACAGAGTGTAAGTTGAAATCTGATATATACGGAAGCATAAGAGTTGCGAATGGAATAGAGATTAGATGAGAACAGAGTATAAATAGATAGTATTCTCTCTTTTTGTAGAATTTGATTACAGCATTTCTTTCAAAATTTATACCCATAAAGATTTCGTAAGTAAATTCCTAGAAAAACTTGTGACATGTAGAAACTCTGGTATATCTGTTTTTTTCAAAAGACACTTCATACTTTGCATATTTACGATTTCCTACTACTGTCCTAGCAATTATCGCTATGCCTACGATTATTTTACCACACTGTGCCTGATATTATTGATTTTTCTAATAAACCTGTATTTGCATTTTAAGTAATCATTGACTTGTTATCTATTGCTGCTGACCAAACTATGAAACTTATTTTTTTTGTTTAAAAAGATTAGTAGCTTATTTTTAAGTTTTTAATTAGATCGTGTATCAACGATGGTATCAATTGGTGCAAATGAATTACCATATGAAGAATTAGAATATGATGTATTATTAAATTTATTACAAGATTTAGATAGTGGAAGCATTAGAAAACCGGATAATTTTACTTCATTACATTTTCTATTGTTAATGTTATATGATTCGGATGGTAGACAACGTGATCGATATCCAATTTGGCGATGGTATTATAGAGTAAAAAAGAAACTATTGATAGCGAAACATTTGACAATTGATAGTAAAAATTGTAAAGAAATGATTTTAACTGCTTTAGAACATATAATTGAAACAACTAAAGATGAACAGCAACTAAAACAATTGATGTTTCAAGGTATTCAATTAGAACAACAATATTTAACATCAACTATTCATGGTTTATTTAAAACATATACACCAATACATACTTATTTGTACATGGAATTACATGATAAACCAACATTAAATACAAATAAAAAATTATTTAATATATTTCAACAATTAATTCAAAAATATTATTTGACAGATAATTGTGATCTAATTCATTTTGCTATTGCTCATAAAAAAACGACACTATTAACTTTAATATTTGATAATATTAATTGGTTAGATTTATCCATGAATTTAACAACAGAACGAGGTTGGTTACCATTACACTATGCATCATTTGTTGGTGATAAAGAGACAGTATGTATTATTTAAAATTAGAAATTTCTATTCATAAATTTTATAAAAATAGTTTCTTTTATTTTAGGTTCGTACAATATGTGACACACTTACATCATCTACATCTGAAATTCATATCGATATCATCTCATTATTAATTTCAACTTTTAGAATGAAAGAATTTACGCTTAATCCAAATAATTATATTCTTAAAGCATGTGGTATGGAAACACTAAATAAAAAACATATATCAAAACATCAACAAAAAGAGAATAAAGAAAATTTATCAGAAACTATTTTTCCTCAAGATAGTAATAATATAATGATGAGACAAAATCATTTGCAACAATTGCATATACATTCACAAGCTAGTGGTACAACAACAAATAATAATAATAATAACAATAATAATAATAATATAAATGATAATGATATTCCCGATGCCGATGAACTAGAATTATCATCATTACCATTATTACAACGTGATGAATTTATTGAAAAAATATTACATGTTCGAGATAAACAATTACTTATTCCATCACCATTAATTCTTGCTTGTATTGCTACATGTGGTGATAAAACAGATTATGAAGAAATTGTTAAAATTTTATTAGATTCACATTTAGTTGAATTTGATGGACTTAATCATGATTGTATTTTAACTAAAGTACTCGATTATATGCAAGAAAAACAGTATGCACAATTTCAACGTGTACAAGTATTTAGAGATACAGAACAAGAGGGACCATCCGCCTTTATTTTCTATCAATTTGATGGATTTATTGTTAATCAGGTAAAATAGACTCGAATTAATGTAACTATATATCTCGAAATAAGAGATGCAAATATATATATATATATATATATTTTGTTTTTTTCTAGGATATTAAACCATTATCTGGCTCCGTTGGTAAATCTGGTTCATCAATGACAATTACAACATCAAAATATGAAGAATCAGCATCCGATGATGGTCATAACAACGAAACACCTATTAGTGTTCGATGTTTTTTAACTGTACTTGTTCTAAGAGATATATTTATTCAATATCCAAGATGGGATTTTCATTTGTTACGTGAAAATATAGAAGAACATTTTTCAGAATTAGAACAAGCATTAGGTTGTCGTCCAACAATATTATATCCTGATGGTGATATTATATCATCTCGAAAACGTAGCGATGTTACATGGGAAGTAATTATGAAATATCGTTTAAGTAGTGAAGCGGGACAATCTGTTTATATGCAAGTTGACTACTATTTCTTTGAATCATTTGGTGATCCATTGGCAGATGCACTTGCTAATATTTATCAGACACCATTTTATTTGTCATGTATGACCGATTCAACAGTCATGATGGATACAATATTTGATAATTTTTTTAAAAGACGACATTTACATTGTTGGGGAACAATTGCTCAACGTCAATTAGAACATTGTTTTGGTATGTAACATAAAATTTTTTTGTTATATTTTGTTTGTTTGTTATCAAATATCTTTAAAAAACTTTTAATATATTTTTATGTTTTTAGACGGTGTATTACAAATTAAAAATAATTGTACAACATTTCTATCATTATGTACAACACTAAGTCATTATTATCAAGTTGAAAATGATCCATTTATGGAAGAAAATTCATCAATAATTCAACGTATATTTGTTCATGCATTTGCATGTTGTGTTCGACGAAACGCTAAAATAGAATTAGATTATCTAATTAAAAATCATGCATTAATCTATTATGATTCATGTCGAACAAAACCATCAGATATTCGACATAATATTTTAACATATTGTGTTGTAAGAAATTTGGTTACTATATTTGATCAACTAATGAATAATATGAAAATGACAATGTATAAAACATATCAAAATTCAACAAATCCCGATTGGCAACCACATATTGCTTGGAGAGGTAAGAATATATATTCTCCATTAATTTTTATTCAATCACTAACATGTTGTTATTGTTCGATTGTTTGTTGTTTTTTTATCTAGAAATAATTCATGTTATCATCGATCCTGTATTACAGCAAACACATGAACAAAATGAATTTTCTCTATTAGCATGTTATGGTGATAATGGAACAAATTTTTCATCAACTGGCAGCGTGCCTATTTTACATTCAACAGGTGAAGAATATATTCGATGTATAAAAACACGTGATAATATTATATCGAAAGCAAAACGAAAATTACCAAGAGCATTATCAGATATTAATAAACGAGAAACACTTAGAAGACGAATTAGTCTTGATCAAGATGATACACAAAGTCATTCGGTAACAGGTGGTGGAGGAAATATTTCAATGAAACAACCACGTAGTGGTGGTAGTCATAAATCACATCGAAACATATTTAAAAATGTAAATAATCGTTTAAAATTCGGTATAGGCGGAAAAAATAATGACAGAAATCATATACTAATGACAACAACAACATCAATGGAACCTGAAAATAAGACATCGGCAATCGATGATAATGACGCATCAGTACCAACAGATGCAATTAGTTTGGTGAGTAATATGACTTTATAAAAGTATACCATTGTATTTGCTTTAGTTTATTTTTTATCATCTTACGTTTCTTTTCTTCCTATCGTTCAATCTCTTTTGGCATGATAGAATATTCATTATGTAATCTAATGCTTAAGAAATAGTCTACGACTAAAGTCAGACTGGTTATTCTATGCTAAGTTTTCGAGAATTTATCAATCTCTCTTTTAGTGAGGTTGCATAATTATCAATTTCTCTAATAATTCCTAAAATTATCAAAACCAAAAAAAAACAAATTCATACATGTCGAATCGGTAAACAGATTTGACACTCAATCTTAACTAGTATTCTATTGAATATTAGATTCGTTTTTGAGATTTAAACCATTTGGAATGCTTTGTTCAACTAATAATAATCATTACATTGACGTATCTAATCTTAATCTTATTTTCAACTCTTAAATCTGAAGTGTATGATGATGCTTTTTGGCACTATACTATTCTGCTTTACGATTTCATAGTGTTTATTTTGTTGTGTGTGTTTGTGTGTGTGTGTGTGTATGTATATACATATTCCTTGATTTTGTTGGTTTTTAATGCTGTGTCTATATATAAACTAATCTCGTTAAAATTATATTATGAATTCATATTCGTTCTGGTCAATATATGATATACGGTTACACCGTTTTTTGTTCGTTTTTTTTCAATTGATAAAGATAATAAGCATCAAGTTATAAAATAAAATGCTTGATGTAAATATAATATGCATGCAATATGATTACATACATATATAGACTTTTCTGTCTGTGCATGTTCACTTATATCAGATACATTTCATCCCAATTAGTTTCGGAGACTATTATATTAAGCTCAAAAAAAAGTAGCACACGAAATTAAATGAGCTTGGAAAAAAGAGATATTTGAGTTCGATGTATTTAATTGGCATGAACAAAAAGCTGAATATTAGTGGAAAACTATCGTAATCTAGCATTTATTACCGAGCTCATTTGTCTCTTTTCCGAGTATAAATTAATTTCCAAGCTCAAAACTTTCATTTATACAAATAAAATATTATTTTATTTTTTTATATATTTATATAATTTTTAGTTTTTTAGTTGAGCGTTACATTACCAAAGCTAAAGGACAGAAAACATCTGAGCTTTCTTGATCAACAATTATATCGATGGATCAAATGAAGAAAAAAAAAACTGATTTGTAACAGCAAATTATGTATTTGTAAGTTCAACCGATTAAAATGATAAGATTGAATATATTTTACCTATCTATTACATATCTTCCCAACTGAGATACTTTTTTAATTAGGTATCTCAGTTGGAGAAAAGAAAACTGTAAGCAAAACCACATTTTCCAACTTAGATACATTTAATAAAGTATGAGTTTATAAATCCTGATTCATTTCCCAACTAAGCAAGAAAGTCCACAGTTGCGTACAACAAGAGAGAGACGAAAATATGACGTTGATAAAAATATCCATCTAGCTTCAGCAAAACAGGCATTACTTGATGATGATATAGATTTACATGAATATCAGCGTCTTTCCTGTCATTTTGCATACAATTGCTTCGAATCTTTTGTAGAAATTGTATCTCAGTTGGGAAATGAATCAGGGTTTATAAACTCATACTTTATTAAATGTATCTCAGTTGGGAAACGTGGTTTTGCTTATAGTTTTCTTTGTCTCAATTGAGATACCTAATTAAAAAAGTATCTCAGTTAGGAATTGAAAATGTATCTCAGTTGGTACATAGCCATCGATTATCCATTTTGGAGACGTATACTTCTATTAATTAAGTTATGATTTTGAAATATTAATCAGTATGTATATAACTACGTGTATCAAAACAAATTATCTTTCAAGAGGAAAAGAGAGAGAAACAGAAAGTTCTAGTATGCGTGTGATGATGATAGTTGAAGTGTTGATATACGAATGAAATAGAACAACTAATTATCTGGACTGCATTTTATTAATAATACCAATGTTCGTTATTGTTTGAGTGCGTGGATGCCTGATGAAATTTTCAATTAACTGAATCTGTTTACACGAATAAAAAATTCTTTTTTACTGGTGAAAGAAAGATAAGGTGATCATATCGTATTATTCCAGGAATATCAACGAGTCCATTCGATTAGTGAGTTAAATACTAAAAAAAAAAAGTTATTTTAAGTTAAAGATGTGCAAAAATTAGAGTTAATATTGTTAACATTTACTGATAACATAATGATTTTTTTTTCATCTAAAACTAAAGGAACTCCAATTCGTGTACCATTGAAATAAGAATGAATCGTTTGAAGTCATAGAAAAGAATTTAACAAATGCATATTTGTTAAATCGAGTCGATGCATATTTTATGCTTGAGATGCTATATCTAAAAAGGTTAGACGTTTTTATATTATATGATAAAAAAGATTTAATAACAATTTGAAAAATATCAGATGTTATACATAAAATGAAAGACAAGAGAATTAGACGGTTGATGAATTATTTGTAATAGTTTCCCACCATGTTTTGAAAAATAATTTCCTAGTCAGTTCTGCTTTGTGTTCATTATCACTTGCATATTTTAATATTTCATCTAAATTTAAATGACTATAAAATCTTGGTAGTTTTTGTAAACCACGTTGTATCCATTCATTAAATACTTCAAAATTTGCTTCAGGATGAAATTGTACACAAAATGCTTTGTTAATTCGATAGGCAGCTATATAACCATTAGATGTATACGCTAATTTAATAGCCGATGATGGAAGCCTAAATGTATCACCATGATGCATAATTAATAACGGACTTTGTTGTTCACTGGTAAGTAACTGTGATAATATTGGATCTGATTTACCTTCATCGGTTAATTCATATTGAACGTAACCTGCTTCGCAACCTTGTTCACCTTCAAATGCTTTACCACCACAAGTATCGGCAAGTAATTGTGCGCCTAAGCATATTCCAAGAAGATGTGTAGTGTTCATCGTTAATTGAGTATGTAAAAATTGTTTTTCCCATTTTAAATATTCGTAGATATTATCTTCATAAGCACCTTGTGGACCACCTAAACTAATTATAGCAAAATAATCTTGAGTATCATTTGGTGGTAGAATAACATCAGACTTGTATATTTGTATAATGTTAAATGGAATGTTATTTTCCGTCAAAAATGTTGAAACATAACCTGGTTTAACATTATCACTATGTTGAATAATTAACACTTTTTTTAATGACATTCTTTTCGAAAAAACTAAAATACATAAAAACACTTGATCATTGAGAAGAAAGATATTTTAATAATATGAAACATTGAATTAAATGATATAGTGCAAGATATGTGTGCCAGTGGATAAGACAGAGTTAAGAGTGAGACACGCGGTATGTATTAACAAGATATATTTCAAATAAAATTGGTGGTAACAAGACTTCATTTTTGTAATATTTCGTATTTCCTAACGATAGATTTTTAGTTATTAGAATCGGGTGTTTTTGTGAGAAGTTTTCTACATTGTCAGCTTCCATCGGTTAAAATCGGGGTACTCTTAAAATATGTACGATGAAATGATGTTTTTTTCTGTGTATTTTGAAACAATGAAAAATTAAATACACGTTGTTTGAATAAAATTTTGCAATTGAATGGATGATTCAAACAGGACGTCCTTTCATCACGTCGTCCGTCTCTGCTCTGACGAAACTGTTGACTGAGAAGTTTTTAATCTACTTTTTTACTCACAGAAGCAAACCATCATCTTCTTTTATGTAATGTAAACAACTCTATTATTTGTTTTTATTCCGCCTTGTTTAGAAACATATAGGATATTTTTCATTTGTGAATGTTATTATATGAATAATTCTTCTTCTTCTTTTCGTTTGTTTTATTCAGAAATGAAATTATGATAAACAAAACACGTATGCTTTTAGGATGAATAAGAGGCATCTGTAATTATCATAAATAAAATAGAAAAACGAATGCATGGAGTGTTCAATTTAAACAAAATGTGAGTAAGTTGGAAAAAAAACGGCTGGTGACGGAATATAGCTGTAACACGACTAATGTAACAACTTTTATTCGCTTTTATTATTATCCATATAAATTCTAAAAGAAATATATGAATAAGAGAATTCATTATTACCATATTTTTTGTGATTATAATGTGAGTCTAGAATAGTAAAATAGCTATTATTCAATAGTAGGCTAAAGATAAATTTCCATTGAACAGTAAGTAACTGTCTCGTTCTACTGTAAACGATCAGACCTTTCTAAACGACTATCTTCTTCTATTATCTGATGCTCTGTTTTTAACTTTGTGCGCAATTGTGATAGAGGTTAACTATAAAATCGTTCTATACGATAGTTCTTTTACTCGATTGAACTACATAACTTGGGAGGCATGCTAATATCGTCTAAACACTCAACATGTCGGAAGCAGTACACTAACAACCTATAAATATCGTGATCTTATTTTGTCATTAGAAACTGGTTTTGGGAACATCGATCTCCAAAGATCTAGTGCCAACAGTGAATATTAGATTCATAATTAGCACGAGCAATTATATATACTTCTGAGTGTTTTGTGAAAAATGTAATATGACTATTGGAAATTCTATCTCGTTAGTCAAAATCATATTAACGCATGTATACTTTGGATGCTGCTACTTATCTATAGTGCTATTATTACTTGCTTTTATACACGAAAACTGATTATTACTAATGCTTAATTAGGAGTGAGGGTATGTAGATCTGATATTAAATCGAGTAACAATTGCATATCATATTCATTTCTAAACCTACTAATTTAAGACACACCTTCGAAGTATACACTACTCCAAATTTTAATAATATCAAACTAATCAAATTGAAGAATCGTTCACTGCTTCTTGCAGCTATTCAATCATCCTGGCTTATCTGATGATAGTGGAAAGGATAATGCTGAAAATATCAATGATCAACAATTAGATCAACAATTAGATCAACAATTAGATCAACAACTAGATCAACAACGTGGATATGGAAGAAAATTACAACGTCGTCAAACAATTGATTTGCCAACATTAAATCGTTCATCAAGTGGTAAAAAAGCACTGAGACATTTACAAGCTATGCTATTTTCGATTAGTGAACGGTCACCATCACTCGGTAAACGACGACATTCTAAACAAGATAATAATGAAGAAGAAACAGAAAATCTTCAGCTACAACCACGTTCTCGAACATCATCAAAAACAAGTGCAGATATATTACAGTCTACTAATCAATCGGACAATGTTGGCATATTGTAAATAGAAAATTGCTGATGCTATTACTGCAATAAATTATCTATCATCCTTGTACAAAATAAAGTGTGCCTTTTTTTGCATTTTTATATTAGAACGAATGATCAATTTTGATAAAGATTACGTTGCAATATTTTTTATGATCGCTTACACAATCACATTGAGAGGACTTTTTTTTGATTTTATTAATTCAGAATGAATAAAAGTAAAAATAATCGAAATAATTGATTAGCAAACAAACTTCTGAAACACGTATCAACATCTCATCATACATTACTCTCATCATTTTTGAATATAAGCTTAAATTTCTTTTCATTTTTACTTTGCAACATGATGACACAAAATTTTTTATGAAAAATGCTTGTAGAATAATCATTATTAATCAGTTCTTATTCCTTTCGACAATATTTGCCCGGTTTAAATCCCCTTTAGTTAAAGCTTCCCAGTTATTTCTAGTTGTCCACAACTGTAGTGAAGTTGTTTTCAAGAGAATAGATAATCTGTCACTTGGAGTCAGTGTGGATTGGGTGCAAATTGTTCTATATGTAAGATCATCATAGGAATAAACGATTTCCAGAAGGAGCTGCATTATATGAAAGATATTTAAAAAGCTGATGTCTAGCAGTAAAATTTTAGCAAACATCACTAGAGAACTATCACAAGGTAGACCGGGCGAACACATCATCATTATCCTACTCTCTTGTCTCGAAAAATTTCTGGATCTGTCATCCAAAACATAAACTTTTATTTTATATAACTATCTCAACTACATTGAAATAAAACTTATTTTTTAGTGATCATGTTGTTTTTCTGAATATAGCTGACGGATAATACAAAAGTCTTGCATTAAATGTCGAACATTATTTCTGGTTGTTCCCGATGTGAAGAAGAGTTAATTATTTTGTCATTTTGAAAGAGCAAAGTCTGAACTTTAAAAAGAAATAGAAAATAAAACTTTTGCAATTAACTTTGAGGAAGAAAAAAGTTCGACATCAAACATCGGCAAAAACCGCTCTTGCAGCTTCCGTCCCCTTCAAACGTATTTCTCGCATGAAACCTATTTGTCCCAAAGAATACTTTTAAAATTATATAATTATAGAAACTAAAAGTATTTTTCTCAATCTTTTAAATGGGGTATAATAAATTATGTTTTGATCCACTTTTCAATCGGAACTTTGCAAGCTGTTCATTAGTTTAAAAAAAACAGGTAATTAGATTTAATTAATAATTTTCAGGAACTGAACGAATTTCCTCCTTTTTCTAAAACGCATTCTCTAGAACAGCATGTAATTCTCTACAAACTCACATTAGTTTAACATGTTTAAAGCCCTAAATAACGAATTTTTCTTGATGTCCCATCTTTCCCATGCAAAGTAGTACTTTCTACCAAAACGAAGGCTTATGATGTGCTTTATTTACTGTTAAAGAATTATTGAAAAACTTTCTAAAGTAGAAAATTTGATAGACTTGTACACATTCTCATCTATTTGATTTTCAAAACAGCTTTTTTCCACAGACTCTAGGAAAAAATAAAGACAAAAAGTGTATTGCAATAGCTTTTTGACGACATTTGGTTTCGAGCTTTTTTCTTCCTCAAAAGTTAAGTTCAAAAGTTTTATTTTCAATGTTTTTTTGAAGTTCAGACTTTGCTTTTTCCAATGAAAAAAATAATTAGTTCTTCAGCACATTGGCAACATGCAGAAATAATGTTCGACACTTAATACAAAACTTTTGAACAACCCATTATGATACGTCACCAGAACATCGACTCTTATCCACAAAAAGAAGAGTGCACGCTAAAAAGAAGAATGCGAAAAATAATATAACCATTTGAACCATATCATAATTATTTAAACATTTTTCACTTTTATCAGAAAAATCTTTTGGATTTTCGAGAATACGAATAAGTTGTAATTTAAAATAGGTAAAAAAATAATTTTTTTTTGACATGGAAAAACCTCGAACATAGTTTAGCCAGGTTTTAGAAAATGAAAATTAGTTTTTCTGATATGAATAAGAAACGTTTAAACAGATATGATATGGTTCAAATAGTCATATGCTCTAAACGTTTTTCACGGATGATTATATTTCTTTTTCTTTTTTGGTTTTCCTCAAACGGGTATACCTTTTTAGGATATTAAAAGTACTTAGCCTATAACGATCATTTTTTATGCAAGATTTTTGTTTATGAGTCGTTGCTGTCTGTATCATAGGCGCTAGTATATGAATGCTAATGATTGGCACTATTAAATCATGGTTATGGTTTTTAATCATAATTAGTGCCGTTACACACATTTTTTTTAATCATGATCAAATATAGTTAATAGTAATTTAAAAAAGTTCCGATTACACTAGAAAATTCTTAAACATTATTTGCGTTGTGTAAACCCCAGTGTCAGGGCGTACCTACTGAGTGATATTTTTATCATATCATTAGTTTCAGAAAAGTCATTGTTTTGTGTCTATCGTTCTTCGAAAAAACATTTGTTTTTGCAAGAACGAAAACATTTTTTGGCAGCACTACCTTTCTACTCTGAAATGTTAGCTACGCCTCTGCTCAGTGTTAGCCTGTTTCTAAAATTATCTGATAAATAGTATTAACACACCATCCATCATGTTATCCTTTTTGGGTTGACACTAACGAATTAAGAAAGCTATCAAAACATTTCTATTATCTACAATATATAGTTTATATTTAAATAGCGTAATACTATATAAATTCTCACTTAACGGTGTAAAGTAGAAACCTTGAAAAAATGTTTCGTAATGCAATCGTGTGTGCTGCTCTATCTAAATGGACTCGAGATCAGCGATTCCATAGTAGAGGAATAACAACCACTTCGCATTGTGATAGAAAGAGTATGGATGCTAGTGCAACAGTCGAATCGGCTTCGGTTAACAAGAAACGAAAGGTAAGGATAGTGTTATCTTATTCTTCATCTCTCTGGCAGTGTTGTCATCG